AGTCAGTACGTCTGTGTTTACAAGAATCTTCATTGATATTGTCATTATCATGAATCAACTGTTTTCAAAACTTTGAAATTTTCGAAATACTAAGGATTTTCCATCCCAGGAATAGATTATCTTAGCTGTATATGGCCAAACCTTTTAGAATTTTGGGTCCTCAATGATCTTCAACTTCGTACTTTATTCGAGCGTCATCCTGGTATCTATGATGAATTAATTCATTTCTCCGTAAAACTTGGTAGAAGTTCTTTCATTTCAAAAGCAACTAGTTATATTGTATTTAATTGTTAACTTTTCATTTACAAAAAAGGTGGGAATTTTATTTGATTGTTGGACAGGTCATATACTAAACAATACCGATTGGTATGATTATCGTGCACAAAATGAGTTTCTGGATTTACTTTTAACAGGTACATTGCGTTCAAGATCGAGCAAACGAATATAAAAGGTTGAAACTTAGAGGCTTCATAGAACAGACAAGAACGTTTAATGTGAACATTGCATGAAAGAGTTGCAATTTTAACTATACAATTAAAATAATATGAACTGAAAATTTACAGACAAAATGATATCATTTGAATCTTGCCAATACGATAATTCATAATCAGCGGAACAGACCCAGTGATAGAAAAAATAAACGTTGTATATGATTATCACGAGTACACCTTGGATTTCTAAAACTAACTTTATCACGATACGCTGGAAACCGACAGTTTGGAATTAAAAACTTTTCATGACGAAGTTAAATATAGGCTTTGATACCGAAGCGATGGCTACTTGGATTTTCCACCATCAGCAAAACCAACCTTTTTATAGATATACAACATATGGTGAATGAATGTTTACAGTGTGTTCAACACGTGTTTCCCTCGATCCTTTATGGGTTGATTTGACATACATAAATAAAATACAGAAATAAGTAAGCAATGAACGAGGTTGTTAAATGTAATATATGCTTTTTTGTACTTCTTTGTTAAATATTTGTTCGTTTTTGTTGTCATTAAGATTGTGACACGGTGTTGACTGCTGTACCCCTATTTTACATTTTTACCTATTATGTCTGTTTGTTTTATTCACGCATCGTTGTCAATATAATGGAATTTGATGCGACTATCATACAAGTGAGAGGTTTAGCGCTATAAAACCAGGTTCAATCCACCATTTTCTACATAAGAAAATGCCTGTACAAAGTCAGGAATATGACAGTTGTTGTCCATTCGTTTGATGTGTTTGTGGTTTTGATTTTGCCATTTGATTAGGGACTTTCCGTTTTGGATTTTCCTCGGAGTTCAGTATTTTTGTGATTTAACTTTTTTCCGGAATAACCTTATCCAGTACGCTTCATATCAATAGTTTGTAGCAATTTAAAAAAATGTTGGAGGGTTAAAAAAAATGAAAGGGTCACCAAACGTACGTTTTAGCACATGGTCTTGGTTAATGAATCCTCTATTATTTCAATGTACATATGACCACTAGTGTGCCTATATAGATGTGATATTTTATGGATACAATGACCAGTTACAGTCTATCAAGAATCATAGAAATTCTTGCTGAAAAAAATGCAAACAACATTTCTTAGATGTCATGCGTCCGAGGATCTTTTTCTGGAATAACCTTCATCAGGAATGCTCAAAGCCGCTAAATAGCTATATTACCAAAAAGGAACTACAAATAATAGCCAAATCCATCTAAGTTCAACTTTGACTGAGGGAGGTAAAACCTTGGTTTCTTCATAATTTCTTAATTTATAAATAGACAATTTAAGAATCAGTACTGAAGTACCGACTAATGAGCTGATACCCTCGGGGAATGATAGTCCACAAGCAGCGGCATCGACCTAAGGCTTTAATAAATGAAAACAACGTTATAAATTCATTGCTAAAAAAGAAACAGACAAACAGACAAACAACAGTACACAAAACAACATTGAAAACCAAAGACTGACCAACAAGAACCCCACCAAAAACTGGGGGTGATTTCTGGAAGGGTAAGCAGATCCTGCTCAAAATGAGGCACCCGTCCTGTTGCTCATGTAGGTACAGACCCGGTGATATGTTTAATTCGGTAGGTCACAATCGAGGGAAGGGGACGAGATTGTAGTTACGACAATTGGAACATATCCGTCGTCATCTGTGAAACAGATATTCCGTAACGGTCAACCAACTCGTGATGGCGTCCTTAAAATTTACGATGGAATGATTTCAACTTCACCACTTAGAACTCTTGGTTTAATAGCTTCCTTGTGAGCAACCCTCTATCAAGGAAATCATGATATGAAACACAAGCCCTGGAATATCATATCAACTGGGAAATATATACTCCGTATGCAGGCGCTGCTAGAATGTTGCTACATAGAAATGGAAAGTTTACCATTGGAAAGCTGAAATCATCTCTTTTGTCGTAAAGTTTTGTTTTAAACCAACCCTCATTGTCAATTTCTAGATGTAAATCAAGATATGAGGCAAATTAAACTGTAACTGTTGTATCCTTTATCTCAATTTCCATGGGATAGATGCGTTCAACATAGTCACCAAATTGTGAATTATTTGGTAGGAGAACATCATTTATATAGCGGAATGTGAAATTAAAGGATACTACTAACTTCGTTTCTTTGTTCATAAGAAGCTCCTGTATGAATTCAGCCTCATACGAATAAAGGAACAAGTCGGCAAGAAGATGAGCACAGTTAGTTCCCATGGGAATGCCGATTGTTTGTTGAAAAACACGTCCTCTAAGAAATCAAGCATCTTGATAATGTCAGTTCAGAGAATTTTTTGTTTGAATCAGAGTGATTTTTTACAAAGTAGTATTTATCCCTCCCTAAGACAAGAAACTTGTATTTACGTAACCCATTCTTTCTTATGAAACAAAGCATGACCAACTCTTTCAATTTGTCTTTTAGTTTGGAATGGGGAATACTTGTGTAAAGTGTAGAAGAGTCAAATGTTTTAATACTATTGCAAGATGAAAGAGTCTTAGATTGTATGTACTCTAAAAGATCTTTGGAATTTTTTAGTATCCACATCTGATTCACGCCACCTCTAGAATATGTAGTTTTACAATAACTTTGAAGCTGAGCTTTGATTACTGATAAAATAGATGCTAATAATTTAGAAAGAGGTTTCGTGGAGCACTTGGAAGACCTATCAATATAACGTTGTTTGTAAGGACACTTATGTAGTTTAGGTATCCAATACAGTGAAGGAAGATCCAGTTCCAGAACAGACCTATGACTATCCAGGACTTCCTCCTTGGTAAGTGTCGTGGGGTATATGTTGAGTTTCCAAGTGAATTGTCAATACCTTATTCATTTATCAACCAAAAATTCACCATTTAACATCCTCAATCGAATCAAACAGTGCTGATATTTTACAATAAATGTATGTGTGATTATTTCTATTATGATTTAATACACTATTTTTCTATCCACTACAAGGACAGAGTTTTTCTCTTGTTTGTTGAAAAATCGAAGAATGTGTCCTTGTACTCATTAATTTAATGGTTTATTTGTTCTTGAGATAAATTTGAAAAAATGTTTCTAAACACCCGTACAACTTCAATGACAAATTAGATGTTGTCACCGCAAACAATACTCCGACCTATACCGTGTTTTGTCCGTTACTTATGTGGGCATTATTTTGACTGTTTGATAAGGGCATTGGGTATTGACACGAAACTTTCGAAAAAGGAAAATCATAAGTCTGTTTTACGTTCCTTTGAATTTTAACCAAAGATAAAGAACTTGATATGCTTCACTCTACGTAAGTGTCCGTACATTGCTGGCTCTACCAATGATCCAACAAATCTCTATTCAAATTGTTAACAAAATAAAACTGGGTTTCGGGTTACTGTGAAACTTCCTACGTACTCTAGGATAACTGTGAGTCTGATTATGGTTCTAAAAACTAAAAATACTCAAATCAGTACATACAATCTAAGTCCCTCTACTCGTTCAATAATAAAATAACGTTTGACTATACCCTACCCGTTAAGTAAATTTAATCTTAAAGAAAATTTGAAAGTAGTAATAAAACTTTTTTTTCAAATAAAGTATGACTAGCGTCGAGAAGGATGGGACATTCATACTTTTAAAAATATCACTTCTTACCAATGAAATGTTCTTTGAAGCTGACACAATCATGATGCTTAATATTCTGATTTGCAACATATTCACTACGTTTAGTGGACGTGTTTTTCATCAGATACTCGGAGTTCATATTGAAACAAACTGTGCTACTCTTCTCTCCAAGTTGTTCCTTTACTCATATGAGGCATACTTCATAATTGTATATGGCATTTTCAAGAAGACCGAAAAAGAAGCTGTATAGTGTCCTTATACTTCACGTTCTGCTATAAAGACGATTTCGTCGCTCTGAATATTTCAATTTTCCTGAGTTCCCTCTAGTTTTGTTTTAAAATTGTCCGTGTCGATTTTGCTTTAGTTTTCAGTCTTGTATTTTATGCAGTTTTATTTTCAATGTCTGAGTTGTTTCTATCGGTAACAGCTATGTGGATGTTTCGTCCTAAAAACCGTGATTACACTTCAAACATTCACATTTGGCCAATTGTAAGGATAGCTTAAGATAAGATCATTTATCGTTTTGAGAATTTGATCATTTCTTAGGGTTAGACAAGATAAATCATCAATCTGCTTTTGTATGTGTAATCATCTTATATGACTCGTATATGCATTTGAATCTTTGACGACGTTGTTAATTGGGGATTTGAGTTCCAGGAATTCAACAAAGCGGTTTATTCGAGATAAACACTGAAGTACGGCACATCAGGTGTTGATCTAACAGAAAATGTATAGCAAGTAAAATAAAGTGTTACATAATAGTTAAATTGGAATTGCTGATAAAGCAAATAAATGTTTATCACATTAATATTAACACGTACCCTGGACGAAACAACAGCGAACACCCTAATGTTTGACTGACATCGACTCATTCAATCACATCTAGTTCTCAAACTATGGCTTTTGAATACACAGTTGATGCAAGTTAATTCAATAAATTTTATTTGTAGTGATGGAAATGAAATAAGTGTTAGAACATTGATAAAAGACTTACTTCGCTAACATAAATATAAATAAGGTATTGCCTTCTGTAAACAAGTGTTAGCTCCTGAAATATATTTTAAAAGCATCTAACTAGAGCTAGACAGTAATTTAGACAGTAACAGCTAGACAAATTGAAGATATTTACAGGAGATGAATTATATATATACATATGCTAAGGGTTGTCTTAAGACTCTAAACACCTGTTTTTAGATTGTACTGTAAAGTTGAAAAAGTTCAAATATTTTTTTCCGGAAATCAAGACTAGTGGCATTTAGAAGTCCCGAAATATGCAAGACCGGCTTACGTTTCAGGCAAATTTTGACTTGGTCAGACAAGTATTATCAAAAGTCATACATTTATATTTCAATTGTGATCTTCAAATCTTTTATGCAATTTTTTTCATTTGCCAGACCAGATGTCAGACATTAGAATTTTAGGAGCCAAATCACTCTTAAATGCTTATTTGCGTTATTTGTATGAGCTAGTAAATCAGGAATGTTAAGGGATAAGGGATTAGATGTAATTTATTATCGTAGACATGTTATTTTAGCTAAAATGGGTAAAAATGTAACAAGCATGTTAATTTAGAATTGTATTAATTCAGGTATGTTTGATCACTATCCTGAATCATGTCTTTTCTATATCATCCTCGGAGTGCATGGAATCGGTAGTGTTGTCTCTTATCCATCATCAAATCTGTAAAATAAATATTAAAATTCATAATACTTAATTTTACATAATAAGATTGTAAGATTATAGGCCTTGAAAATTCCATTTTGAAACGGTATAGTCTAGCATATGTATCTATTTGAAATGGATTTATAAGTTTCATTCAAAATGAAATACCAGAATTCCCGTTCATACATACACACAAAAGAAAAGAAAAGAAAAACAAGCAATAGAAATATAAACTACAAAGTACTTATACTACCAGCGAAGGAGCCAACAAGTCACCTAAGGACATCACAAACTCAGCATAGTATTAAATGGTTTGAGCACTCACAGATATTGAATTCATTTGGTAAAAAAGACCAAACTTTCCTTAATTGTTCGTAAACACAACCGTCGTCATTCTTTAGAGTTAATAAGAAAATTTCACGTTTGTTATTGTATAATTTGATATTCGATCACTTCCATATTTTAATAAGACAGGGCGTAACTGCCGTTGTCACTGTTTGAATTATCTTGAGGAAATTCCTTTATTTTGTCATCATCTATTTTAAGCCATGGAAAACTTTTCTTTTGAATTGAACGATACGAGTGTTTCTTCAATACGTCTTTCATAGACATTCCTAAACTTCAGAATCTTCTCGCAGAAACAGCTATATGGTTATGTCAATCCCTTTCATCATCGAGAAACACGTTTTATGCATACATAAAAAAACCCATAATATTCGCGATTTCTGTTAATTTTGTTATGTGAGCTTCTCGGGAGAAAAAAAAACATACTGTCGCAAAACTTCCAAATAAGTTGACTCTCCATGGTATAAAAAATTTATGTATTTTGATATTAATCCCCATATAAAGTTCCACAAAGAACTGATTAATTATATTATATTAATAGTAATTGCACAATGTGTTTACGGACAGCAGTATATCATATTATGTCCAGTCTGTGACAGGCGTATATACCAACTGACGGACAGCAGTAAATCATATTTTGTCCCATCTGTGACAGGCGTGTATACAAACTGACGGACAGCAGTATATCATATTATGTCCCGTCTGTGACAGGCGTATATACAAACTGACGGACAGCAGTATATCTTATTTTGTCCCGTCTGTGACAGGCGTTTATACAAACTGACGGACAACAGTATATATATCATAGTATTCCTGTCTGTGACAGGTGTATATAGTATGTCCTAGATTTGTCAATCAATACCTCTGGAATAGCAAATCCAAATTATTAAAATCAAAAGGAGCTTACTTTTATAAATCCGAAAAATATAAAGTTTGAAGTCTCGTTGACGTTTCCCACTGAATCTTTTTTGTATAATATTTCATATTACCAATTCCTTTATTGACAGTCAAACGAAACTAGGATCCCCGTTCAATTAAATTAACCATTATAAACAAAATTTGAAAAAACCAATAAGCCAATGCTTTAAAAAACCATTTATATTGTTATTGTTTCCCATTAATTACATGGGAAAGATCCTTGTTCTTAACAAGACGTTTTCTTGTTATCTAGCTCTTATATAAAGGATACTACCGAACGTTGTGCCTCCATGTTTCCTGTCTGTATCATTTATTAATTACTTAGTGTTATTTCCCCAGGAGGAAATTCCCAGTTAAGTTACCGTTACTTAACACGAAAAGCGATACATCCAATAATTGGTCTCCATCTAATACTGTAATAGTAATTAACGTTTGTCTAAGTTTACTTTAGAGGTTTCGTATGGCAACATTTTAATTTCTTAATTAATAGACCATTTGAAGAATACCTATGGGAAATTGTGCAAAATACCTGCTCATCAAATAGCATGCCGACATCTCCTCCATAAACGTTAGTTCTGTAGTAAATACAGAAAAATTTGTGTACAGCAAACATAAGTCAATATAGGAAGGGAATGAATTTACATGAAATTACAATTAAAAAGATAATATTGATGATTAAGACTATTTAAATTGTCTTGTTTTATTGGATAATAAATCAAGAGGAGGCAGTCTTGTGTGAAAATGTATCCTCAGATAACAAACCATCCCGTGTGTAGTGAGTACCATGGACCGAATAACATCAATTTTCCCCTGACAGTATGTTCAAAGTCAAAATATAAAAGCATTTATAGGAAAAAACATGTACATTGTTGTAACGGTGTCTTTATGTCATGTAATGGAAGGAATTGCACCACCAGACTGAAGAATCCATTTTAACCTTAGTCTTCTTCAAGCAATTGAACAATAACTGTAACATTTAGATGAATGATGTCACGAATAAAATTCCACCCTGTACCATTTTACAATCGTTCAATATCCGAATATATGCTTTCTGTTTTACTTCACATCTTTATGAGAACTGATATAAACTGGCAAGCAATGGTGTATACTGAACCGACAAAAAGTTCAAAAGACATACATTCCATTGCTAGTGCATTATGGTTTCCAACACAAACGTTCTCTCTGGAAACATTTTAATCTTTGATTGATGAGGATCGGTTTTAACTCGTTGGAAATTTCTATGGAGTAGATACTGTATTTGTTGGAGATTGAAATTCAAAACATCAAACATGTCTTCCCTCATTTTAGAAAATACCCGAAAAAGTGGTTTTTACGGAAGCCGATAAGGGCCATTAAAAAAAAAAAAATTATGTCGTAATTACGACATAGCATGTCATAATAACGACATCGCTATGTCGTAATTTCGACATAACATGTCGTTATAACGACATCGCTATGTCGTAATTTCGACATAACATGTCGTTATTACGACATCAATATGTCGTAATAACGACATAGCTATGTCGTAATAACGACATCGCTATATATATATAAGAATATGTATTATGATTGCCAAGAGACTTAATGACACAGAAATTAACAACTATAGGTCATCATAATGCCCTCAATAATGAGAAAAGCCCCCGCATAGTCAGCTATAAAAGAGGGACGAAAGATACCAGAGGGAGAGTCCCCGACATGACAGCTGTTTAATAATTTATTTCAAACGAGTGAAAATAACGGTTTTAATAATGTACAAACAAAGACCTAAAAACGAATATGTAACACAGCAACAAATGACAACCACTGAATTACAGACTCCTGACCGCTATGTGATAATAACGGCAACTTTATAGTTTAACTTTTCACTTTTTGATGCGATAGGCATTTCAAAATGGTTGTCAGTAAAAGCAAAGTTTGTAGCGGAAACAAATTCATCTTTTTTTTTTTTTTAGAATAATGAACACTATATGCAATCAAGCTTAATTAAAGTTATTCACTTGCACCTCAGACTTGCACATACTAGAACTTTATTTATAATCAAGTCAAATGAAACCCAGTTGAATAGGGGAGCAATTCAAGCTCCCTGGAGCCTCTAATTATGTTTGGCATTGCAGGATCTGAATAAGCTGAATTTTAAGCTTTTCCCAATAAAGACTATGTTAAACTTTGGACTCATAGTGCTCAGACCCACGGATCTCTGTACCTTCATTTGTACACACTTGAATCTTAATGTACAGTAACTACTGAGGCTTGATGCAAATTATTACTGCATTGCTATTGTTGGTTCTTAATGAGATTCTTCAAGCGTCCTCCCCATTGAAGCCCTATTAAAACTTTGTACCCCAAGTTCTTTTAACCACTGTTCACAATTCAAGGGGAGGGTTAGGATCCCGCTAACATGTTTAACCCCGCCACATTCTTTATGTATGTGTATGTCCCAAGTCTTTAGTTTACATATTTGTTTTTCGTTTATTTTTGTTCATAAAATAGGCCGCTAGTTTTTCTCGTTTGAATTGTATTACATTTGTCATTTCGGGGCCTTTTATAGCTGACTATACGGTATGGGTTGTGATCATTGTTGAAGGCCGTACGGTGACCTATAATTGTAAATTTCTGTGTCATTTGGTTTCTTGTTGAGAGTTGCGTTTTTGAACAAACCAGCGTATCCCAAAGCATTGATAACCTCTGTAGGCCCCAAATAAGACGAAAAAACATCAAAATTGGAGAGAAAACTAAAAATAAATGGTTTCTAAACTCAGGGATATTAACCCTTGGCATGCTGAATTGTTATCAGAAATTGTCTAAATTTCGAGTATTTGTAAAAATATGCAAATGATATGCAAATGAGCTGTACCCTGATGCTGATGCATACTGATTGCATTAAATCTAAGATAGCCAAGTGCTATTCAGATCCTGCAATGCCAAACATAATTAGAGGCTCCAGGGAGCTTGAATTGCTCCCCTATTCAACTGGGTCTCATTTGACTTGATTAAAAATAAAGTTCTAGTATGTGCAAGTCTGAGGTGCTAGTGAATAACTTTAATTAAGCTTGATTGCATAGAGTGTTCAATATTCTCAAAAAAAAAGATGAATTTGTTTACGCTACAAACTTTGCCTTTACTGGCGACCATTTTGAAATTCCTATCGCTTCAAAAAGTGAAAAGTTAAACTATAAGGTTGTCGTTATTATCAGATAGCGGTCAAGAGTCTGTAATTCAGTGGTTGTCATTTGTTGCTGTGTTACATATTCGTGTTTCGGTCTTTGTTTGTACATTATTAAAACCGTTATTTTCACTCGTTTGAATTAAATTGTAAACAGCTGTCATTTCGGGGACTCTCCCTCTGGTATCTTTCGTCCCTCTTTTAAAGCTGACTATGCGGGGGCTTTTCTCATTATTGAAGGCATTATGATGACCTATAGTTGTTAATTTTTGTGTCATTTAGTCTCTTGGCAAACATAATACATATTCTTTTATATATATAGCGATGTCGTAATTACGACATAGCTATGTCGTAATTACGACATAGTGATGTCGTAATTACGACTTTTATGTCGAAATTACGACATAGCGATGTCGTATGTCGTTATTACGACATGTTATGTCGTAATTACGACATAAAAAAATAATTTTGAATGGCCCTTATCGGCTTCCGTAGGTTTTACCTTAACTAAATTCACTATTTATATCAAAATCTCTTCTTTTTTCTATCATATTTGCTGATATTAGGTAAATGGATAGAAAAGTGAAAA